CATGGAGCACTGGGTGTTATGCACAAACAATGAATCATGGAACACTACGTCAAAAACTAATGAGGTAATGTATGGTGATTAACATAACAATTAAATTTTAAAAAAATCACTTAATATTATAAAGCCCATAATTTCACTACATTTCAGTCACATGATGTGCAACAATAAACATTCAACTGTGTTTATTTATTCATTTAATTCAATAATGAGATTGGGGACATTCCTCTGGTGCTCTTCACATGGGGACTCAGGAATGAATGATGTAACCAAGGTGTTTGCCTCAAGAGTCTGCTTCTCCAGTAAATACGAGATTCTAAAATTCTCAGAAAAAAATTAAAATTCCCTTATCTGTATTTTTATCTTCCTTAGCCAAACCGTGTTCTCAAATTAAGATCACTAGAAGGTCCTCTTTAATTAAATGTGAAAAATCTCCTTTAGTTTAGGTACAGCTGATTAGAGGGAAAATAGGAAGAAAACGGACAGTTCCATATTCATGAAAAGACTGTTTTCCAAAGTATTCTTCATGTATCTCACTTGGAACCTAGAATTCATTTCCTTCCTGAAATAATACTGAAATGGGGGCAGTTAATATTTTACAGGTGTGCTTGGTGTTCTTGGGAAGCTATGGCTTATTTATTTTCTATTGGCAATATTCACGTGGGTTATTTACACAGGTAACTGTACTCCAGTCATCTTTTGTGCATTAATAGTAGTCAGTTGTAGTAGTTAGAAGTCTTTCTTTCTTTCTAAAGGCACACAGTGAGTTCTAAGACTTGTGCCCAGAGGTTTCATGGAAGCTTACGTTCCAGCATAAAATCTGATATTTGATGGTATATTATTTTCTCATTCCCATCAACATTTTTTGTATGAACTGCATTATGCATAGCCAAGAATTTTTTGGAGGAGGTGTACCAATTAAATCCCATTGCCATGAACCATTTGCTTAAGGGTAAAGTGCCGCCGCCCCAAAACAAAACTTTTTTGTGAGGTTCATTTCAGCATGAATCTACTAAAACCTGTTCAAATAAAGAGCTTGGAGAAAATAAACTTCTTACAATTATTATTTTGAAACAAATACAACATTTCAAAATAGGCTAACTTGGGCAAGCACTTTCTTCTGCATATTATTCTCTATGTATGACTTTCTCATTTTAAAAGAAAGGGATTTTTTTTTTTTTTTGTAAATGTCCTTTTCTAAACTGTGGGAGAACAATTTCCTCTCCAAAGTAGGTTTCACACAGTTTCTGCGATCAAACCTAAATTATTAATTTGGTTAATCAGTACATTGCCTTCACAGAAATTGTAGAGGGAGATGGGTCCTACTTCCTCTCCAAAATTTCACCCAGTATTAATTAGTACTTTTTTTTAAAGATTTTATTTATTTATTTGACACAGAGAGAGAGAGAGAGCGAGAGCAGGAACACAAGCAGGGGGAGTGGGAGAGGGAGAAGCAGGCTTCCCGCAGAGCAGGGAGCCCGATGTGGGGCTCCCTGAGCCGAAGGCAGACGCTTAACGACTGAGCCACCCAGGCTCCCTAATTAGTACATTTTTTTAATTTTAAAATGAAAACAGTATTAGACCCAGTCAAGGCTCAGTTGTCTTAGGTACAGGATACTAACTACTTAAAACAAACAACAAAAAAAATGGGTGCTGACAGTTTACACAAAGGAATTTAGTCCTATAGTTCCACTAAACACCATCTTCCCTTTATAACGGAGCAAAAATTCCCACCCGCACCCCCAAACTGACCACAAATAATTTTTTTTTTTTAAAGATGTATAATTAGGACACCTGTCTCAAATCCTTTGATGGGTTGTTAGTTGATTTCTTGGGAGAAGTGTTCCGGCCGTTTCCTTTTTAATCAAAGCTACTTTGTGAAATTGCTTCCCGACCAGACCTCAGAATATTAGCAAAAGTCTTGCGCTGGCCTTGTTGCCATTTGAATATTCACAGCCATCGTTTTACGGCCACCCCATCGTGAGTAATGCGCGGCAACTCCCACAACTCAGTCATCATTTCTTCCCTCCCTGAGCTGGCCCTGGCCCTTGGAATGTTTGCGTGGTGTCACCGTGAATGTGCTCGGAGCAGAGTTATATGGCATCATTTGGAGAAACATTGCGTTAATAACCAGAGTTCAAGGGCAAAGGATATAAACGGAGCAAATTACAAGTCTGAACAGATATATAGCTTTTGCTAAAAGGGACATGGGCTGCTACTTTATTTACTGGGCACTGGGTGCACTTGCGAAGATGCCGAAGCGCATGAAGACATTTTTAAACGACCACATCACAGCTTAAGAACACAACACAAATTTTCAGACGAGAAAGAAAGCTAGTGCAAGGATCAACGGTTCTGAGTTTCCTAATGAGAGAATACGATTTGCTGTAAAGTACCTTAAGTTTCCTGGGTAATTTCACAGATGATAATATCATTTTATGTGTCACAGTGGAGGGGCAGCAGAAGCTTGCTGCAAATCTAAATTCAATAGATCATCTCAAACTGCAAGGTAGCCCAATTTTGTCAGGGATTTCTTGCTATGATCATTTTAACCCGGGGGTACCACCCTAGTTCAAAACGAACACCATGAAAGAGGAATTTGTAAAAATGCTATATTTCATTTTAATATGCTGACTAGAGGTAGCTCAATGATTACATAAAAGGGGAACCAGCAATTCAAAAGAGGGAAAGCAAAATCAATTTTTTAAAAGGAGCAAAAAGATAGCTTCATTAATAATAAAAGAAGTAAAAATCAAAGAAAGAATCACACCTGCTACATTACCAAATATTTTTATTAGTATTCTCAATAACACTGAGCATACTGTAAAATATGTTGAGCCGATATTTTTCTATTGGTAGGATTGAATGCTACAGCATTTTTGTTTTTCTTTTCCTTTCTTCTTTTTCTTTTTCTTCTTCTTTTTTTTTTTTTGTAAAGCAATTTGGAAATTATTGTAAAAAAAAATCAAGATGTTCATTAAGCATGGCCTATGTATTCCATTTGAATTTTCTTTGAAATCAATAATTTGAAAGATGGAAAGTTTGCCTTAAGATGTTCCTTACTGTACTATTTACTGAAAGCTAGAAGCTACCTAAGTATCCAACAAGCAGGAAATGGTTAATCGAATTACATATACACTCAAGGAAATATTATGCTGTTATTAAAATTGATTAAATGTTATTAAAATTGATTAATCTTATACTAATATTAAAAAGCTCTTTTGACATAATATATGAAAAAAACCCACAGGATCCAGTGAACTCTTTTATAAATATTTAAGCATACATAAAAACTACTCTAGAAAGAAACATACGTGAATTTAATTTATGTGTACTTTTTTGTGGGGGAGAGCATATACGCTCTCTGTACTGGAACAGATAAGTTAAGTTTCTTTAATTTTTGTGACTTACTTTTACACTCTTAAAACCTGGTATTTCAAAGAGAAATGCGTGGAGCTAGGTTCTTTTCCCCTGACTCATTTTCAACCATAATGAGATAAAATACACCTCTGTGACATGATTCAATTTCACTTACTGCTATTTTAAACATGGCTTTTATTTTCTTAGTGGTGGTAGTTGTTAGGGCGGAAGGGGATGGTGGGTATTCTAAAGCGCAATGAGATAGAATAATATTCCCATATTAAAAAAATCCCACCATTTTCTCTAAACTGTTTTGCTCGCAGAGGTTAAAGAATCAGCTTATAGGCAGGACTGACTTATTTTGACATGAGATGTATTAGCTGCAGCAACACAGCTTATGCAGGAGGAAATACTCAGGGTGAATGGGCCCGTCCTTCAGTTGCCAAAGAAGAGCCCGATGATACAATAGCTCTCTACCAACCCCATTTCCATGGTGGTTCATGACATATTTTTTCCTGTTATCCTTCTGTCTGCTTCAATCCCTGCTCTCAACCTAATGAGTTTTTAAAAGGACACTCCTTAAATCGAATTGCCTAAAACCATGTGCTGTCATCTTTTTGCAAGGATAAACAAAACATATTCAAATTGCTCATGACTTTTAAGCACATAAAAGCTAGACAAATTATGAAAATTTTACACATTCTAGAGTGCAAAATTATCTCTAGAACACGTTCTTGTATTTTATTTTATTCTTTTTGAGCTAAAGCTTTTTTTTCTTTTAGCATTTAATATCCAACTGTTTTATTTTTTTTAATCTAAAGTGCATTGCCCCCCTTCCCCCCCCCATTTTTTGAAACCTATTTTCAATGATCTTAATGTTGCCTGAGATAAGAGAATGCAACTGTTCAGGTCTGATTTCATATTGTTTCTCAGATAACCGATAGGGGATCATTCCCACAAATGGCAAATAGGACTTAAAAACTGCAGTTTGGGAAGGGGAGGCTCAGGGATTGTTCCGATGGCTAAATGATTTGTCAAACATCGGTCCTAAATGATGCGAGGTTCTTCGCCCGCCACTTTCCCATAGTGCGTTTTCCTTTCTCCCACAGAGATATAATAGAAACTAATCTTCAAAATCTAAACATTCCGAGCCCGGTCCTTTTGTGCAGGCCTCTTGCTCTCTCTGCCCAGTGCCTGGAGCCGCCAAGCGCGCTCCTATTTACACTCTCCAGCCCCCCGCTGCTCGGACCCCGGCCGGCGGACAGGCCATCCATCATCCGCCCTCCTCCCGCCGAGCGCCGCCGCCGCGGCCAATCGGGCGGCAGGTGGGGCGCACCTGCGGGACAGCCCGCCGCTCCCCTCCGCTCCCCTCCGCTCCCCTCGCCGCGCTTCGCTGGCCGGCGGTGCCCTTGCAGCCCCTGCGTTCTCCCCAGGCCAGAACCCGGCAGGTACGTTCGGGTGACAGGGACGGTGTGCGCCGCCGAGCCCGCCGCTGGCGGCCAGGGGGGGCTGCAGGAACGTGGGGGGACACGTTCTCCCTTAATGCACACGCCTGCTTTGGATTGGTCTGCCATCCGTGCGTGTGGACACACGGGCCCTCACTGGGTTTAGTCTCTAAAAAGTGGAAGAATTACGATACTCACCTTTGGAAGGGACGAGTAAGTGAGAACATATTTGAGTGATAGAATTCCTTGCCTCTGGTTCGTTCCTTTGATAGCAAGGACACATGATGAGTTTGCAGGCCCAAGTCTGAATTCAGCATGGTCCATGCAGACTTCAGGCAGTCTTCGGACCCTGACCCCTCCTCCCACCCCCAGACCTAAGTGCACAATATTAACTCAACACTAATAACTATCACCATAGGACACACAAACTACTCCAAGCAAAAACCTAACCTGGATCTCAAGGGCGGTTAAAAAAAAAAAAAAAAAACTTGTAACAATTCAAAAAAAAAAAAAGAGCAGAACCTCAAACCACGGGGAAGCCTTCATTTTCGAAATAGGTCAACTAATTGTAGTGCAATCACCTTGCTTTTAAGGGTGGGGCTGAGTTCCTTGGCTCTTCTGAGAAGGCAGCTACAGTGAGTCCCGCTACGGTGTTATGGATTTTATAACTGGACTCCATAACCCCTTTTGGTGTAAAGGATCCAATACATCTACTTTATCATGTAATTCGAGAACAACTGAGGACAAGCAGAATCCCCCCTCCCCTTTATGTTCCAAGAGTGTGTCTATGTAAATGTCAGTTATGTCCAGGCAAGGCCTTGGGGGGTGGGGGTGGGGGGAGATAAGACAGCCCTGCCAGGGGCTTCAAGGTTTTCCAGAAAAGCATGTGTCTAAAAAATAAAAATAAAAATAAAAATAAATAACAGCAACCACAGCAGTAAGCATCACCCCCAACCCTCCACCCCTGGCTTCCTTCTGAATCATAAATCATGAAAGAGAGATCAGTGACTCCAGTTTTCCTGCCTTTAACGACTGGAACTGATAATGCCAAAAAGGAAGAGAAACAAAGATGTGACCCATATTGCTGCCAGAGGAGGGGTACGCTTGGGAAGGTCCAGGTTTCTCCTCTGTTTGAGAGCTCCCATGGCTAAGAAGGCTCTCGGATCCTCCAAGTGGGTGGTTCTCAAACCTGGCTTCACATGAGACCCAAGCCTAAGTTTGTGAGTTTTTGATTTGTTTTTCTTTTTCTTTTGGGTTTTGGTTTTTGTTTTGTATTTTTTTTTTTTTTTTAAGAAAATACCAATGCCTAGAGCAACATACTGATTCTCTTGGTCTGGGGTGTGGTCTGAATACAAGTGCTTTAGAAAACCTTCCTTGTGGTTGGCATGCACGGCCCTCCAGCTGCACATTCCATTTCTGTTCTGTTTCATGGGATCCATGGATAGGATTCATGGGATATTATTCTGTTCCGTTTCATGGGATACAACCGCCACCCTTTCCCCCTCCCCATCAAATACACGCAGTCCACACGGAGTTGACAGTCTCTCTCTCTCTTTTTTTTGCCATCCATCACTTACTCTTATTAGCATGCTGCTCTGTTTATTCCAGGTGTTAGAAATTGATCACTCCCCATTTTAACACCTTGAGAGCAAGGGATTTTTTTTTTTTTTTGTATTAACGCATTTATGTTTTCATTATTATTTAAGATATTGGCTGGGAAGGGGTGGGTAGAGAGCAAGTGATAGGAGGAATTTTGCTCGCTGGGGACTTTTGAAGTCTAAAATATTTTTCTCAGAACTTGCAAAAGTTGCTCCCGCCACTGCTGCTTCTGTTCATCCGCGGCTCGGGGCCCACCTGAGCCACCTCACTTTGCCTACCCAGGACTGGCCACACATTTTGTATGAGCGGAGCATTCTGCCTGTTCACCCAAGTGGAACCGGAATCTCGCCTTACCGGGCTTTTTCTCACTCTCCGTGGCCAGCAGTGCTGCATTTCTGGATTATGTTGTACACTTTTCCTTGAGAGATAGATGATCTGTTCTTTGATTAGACATCCTGACCTTTTACGGGTGTTGATCATTGATCTTGATCTGGGCTGGATAGAAAGCTCTTGACTCTGAAAAGTTACTCCGTCGCCAACACCACGGGGAAATTCAATTTCTGCCTGCGCCCGGCCAGGGACTCCTCCTCAATTAGGATTTCTCTTGTTATGATTTTACTTTTATTAAGCAAGGGCATCCTCTGTTTTTTTCAGCCCTAGCTTTTAGTTACAGTAATCAATTTTTTTTTCAGTGTAACTGGCTGTAATTGTTGGCTTGGATATTGAGCTTTCATGGGCTTAGACATAGTGTGTTCCCATGAAGGGTCTTCTCCATACCTCTCAGACAGACGGGTAATAATAGCATACATTAATACCTCCACATTGGTTTATGTGTGTTTGACCACAGTGCAAGCATAATTATTTTTGCTCAGTAAAAGCTATTAGAGATCTATTTGGTAGGTTTTACGATCAATAGCTCCTGTGATATTTGTGTAGCAGCCACAGAATAATCAATTGAAGGTCATATAAAGTAAATTACCATCCTCCTATAATGATTCTTTTTTCTAGATGAGAATTGGGTTTTATTATTTCATCAGGAGCCTCTCAGCGACGCATGCTCTGTCCGTTGGAGAAAGAGAGATGTGAAAGTTGTGATCGTGTTTGGAACATAGTATTAATATCCATTACTTGAATTTATGTTATCGGATTATTGAATTAGTGGATTCACACTGGAATTCCTTCAAAACCCTTTCTTATGTACTCAGTGACACAGTTAATAACAGTCGGGAGCAAATGGACGTCTTTTGTTGCATGGTGGAGTGAGTCACTTTGCAAAAGTCAATCTTTGTAGCTGTCTCTTTAAAGCAAATTTAGAGTTGGTTAAATGTGTTATATTGACAGTGTGACCGAGCTTCTCTCTTCAAACCCTTTTGGAGAGTGACTGGTGAACTAAGCAGGCGATGGAGTCAGGAATGGTGAATACTAATGTGCCGTCCACCGGTGGCTCAAGGTGAAACTGGCAGTGAGGAGGAGTTGGGGAGAGGCTCTGCACCTGCTTTCGGGGTTGTGGGGGGGACCCCTCGCCCTCACCCGAGATGCCTAACCTGGATTTCAGACTTGCAGTGCGATCCTATAAAGGATTGCAATTTGCCAACCGGAGGCACGCAATCCCCCAACTGTCTTAAAGGGACCCATTTTCAGAGTTTAGCCTTTCTTTTTGTGGGTGCAATCAGTTGTGCACTGAAAAACTGCAGCCACAGTTGGATAACTGCAGGCACAACAGGCCACGGGAGGCCTCTTTGCTCCAAATTTTGTACCTGCAACTAATTGCACTTACAGAAAATGGGAGTGTGGTAGGAGCTTTTTTAAAAATTTGGGCCAGTAAATTCTCCATGGAGGGAAGAGGCAAGGAGGGAGCCAATTACTCACTTTCTTAAAGACAAAGGCAAATGGAGACATCCTTTTCTTCACACGTTCCTTCGAGTCTGTGGAGCATGTTTGGGGAGCCAAATACCAGGTACCACGAGTACCCTGATCGGGTGGGACACTGCCTGGCAGTCGGGAGCGCTTCACAAATGTACGAGAAATAATACGTTGAAAAGTACAGTAGAAAAGATATTGGTGAGTTTGAGACCACAACTCTGGTGAGAAATTAGTGAAGAGTTTTAAACTAAATGGCAAAAGGCATTTTCTTTCCTTTAAAGGAAGGGTTATTATTGTTGTAACTTCTCATTTGCTTTGGGGGCAATTAATGCAGAAGTTAAGATAATAGTGCCTCTAGAGCATAATCAAATGGTAAATCAGGGAGCATACATATTTAAATGTATGTGTATAATATATGCTTATGTATTTATGCATATAGAAATACATTTATGCAAATTATATGTCTGCTTTATACACACACACATATATACACATATTATACAGGTATATATACACATATATACATTTTATTTACTTTTTTATGAGCTTAGGGAAAGAACAGTCTGGGGGTGCCTGGCTGGCTCGGTCGGTAGAGCATGTCTCTCTTAATCTCGGAGTTGCGAGTTCAAGTCCCATGCTGGGTGTGGAGCCTAGTTAAAATAAAAAAATTTTTTTTTTTAGAAGGACAGTCTGATGTGGGTCATCCCCTAGTCCCTGTGGCTGAACCTCTGTCTACAGGGCCTTATGGAGCTATGTCACAGGGACCTCGTTCTACCATCTTTTGAGTACAACGTGGTGACAAGCAAGCTGAGCTTGAAACCAAGAACTTCCTTTCTCGCTTTTGAAGATGACCATAAATTAAGCACATATTCTGGAAATTAGAAATCAAATGCAAAATGAGATTGGAAATTTGAGATGTTGTTCTTGCAGAAGTAATTATGAAACATAATTGTACTCAGTAATACATTTAATAATCAAACAAAAGAGGAGCAGGTTTTGGTATTCCTTACAGTTTTAATATTTTATTTATTTATAGAGAGAGAGAGTGTGTGCGTGAGCAGGGGGAGGGGCAGAGGGAGAAGCAGACTCCCCATGGAGCAGGGAGCCCGATGTGGGACTCGATCCCGGGACTCCAGGATCATGACCTGAGCCGAAGGCAGACGCTTCACTCACTGAGCCACCCAGGCGCCCCCCTCTCATGTTTTTATTGACATAGCTGTAAGGTAGCAGAATCTAGGGCCCTGGTGTTTGGAAAACCACCACAGGAGCCCAGAACTTCTTACTGCCTAACATAATGGGGGAGAAAAATAGACATCTATCAAGTTGTTGGGTTTTCCATCATTTGGAGCCCAAACTAATCCTAATGGATATGCTTGCATTCCCTTGATTCCTCATTTCCCTAAAAGTACTGCTGCTCCCTCATCTTCCTTCCCGGTCCAAGTATTTTGAGTCATCCACATACGTAACTTCCACGTCTTCACTCCCTTCACGTCTCAAATGATTCCAGTGTGGCTCCCATCAACATCCCTACAAGAAATTGCTTTAGTCAGGCTCAGGACCTCCATTTGGCCAGTCCTCATTGTACCTGATGGTGTTCACTCTCTCTCGGGTCTCTTTATTCATAAGATTCTGTGATATCACATTCTTCTGTGTTTTCTTTGGCCTCATGGGTCACTACCCCTTGGTCTCTTTTGCAAACCTACATTTCATTTGCCTTCTCCAGCACCCTTCCTTTGGTTTCAGAGACATTTGAACTCAATGTGTCCAAAATGGAACACCTGATTCTCCTCCTGCCCAAATGTGTTCCCACCTCCCTTTTCCTCATCATAGGAAACCGTCTTAGTGAATTCTCTAACTGGAATATGGAAGTTTTCTTTGATTCCTCTCTCTACCTCACTCTTCAAAACCCAAATCTCAAAGCAGTT